TGTCAACAACTAGACTTTATCGTTATTATCGCGGGAAGACGAATTCTTATCGTGTGGAGAATTTTTACCGGTATATCACAAACAATAAGATATCGCCCATCCCTAGCCTCCACCCAAGCTTGGTTCACAAAAAATGTCACTAACTGAAAAGGAGTCTATATTATTGACTCATTTCACAACTGTTGATCTTTACACAGTCTTTAAACTGCACGAACCTTAGCTGAACAATGACAATATTTTTTAGAGCTGCTTTACAACAGAACTGATCACTGTTTGCATCTGTACGTCATTTTTCCCATTTAATTTTCCATCATCTAATACAATCTCCATCAGGATCCGTTACTTGTGATGCAGATGACATGATACTTTCAGATCTTTCTATTCTGATCTCTATAAAGCTGAATATGTACCTGATCTGGTTTTGCTCAAACCTTATCTTTTCTTTCAAAACATAATCTGCATTACATGAAAAGGAGGAAGCAAAATCCCTTGATACACCCCTTACTCATAAAGATTTTTTTTTAAATGCGTTAACCTCAAAGAAGAGAATCAAAAGACCAGTTTCATGTCACCTAAAGCCATATTTATAGCTTATGGTAGTCAACATATTCATAATTCATAAACTTTTTTTTTTTGTTAGTATGTTTAACAGACAATAATTACACAATTTTGATTTTGTGAACCAACAACATTACAGCAGCATCAGAGCGCTGGGTGTCTTAATCACGCATTACTTTATTTTATTCATCGAATTGGACCCAGGATGATACTTTAAAGGGGTCATCGGATGCCCATTTTCCACAAGTTGATGTATTTTGGGTTTATATTTGATTTGTAATCATTTGTAGACTATCATCTGCAGTTGGTCTGTCGCACGTTTGTGTTGTTCTCGTCGCATTTACACTGTTTTGAGCAGATGTCGCTGATTTTGGCGCTTCAATTCAGTGAATCATTTTGCGAAGCAACCGACTCAAATAAGTGAATCGACTCAATTGACTCGTTTAAAAAAAGCTCCGTTTCTCACATCACTACTTACCAGTGACCAAATATGTGATACAGACAAGAACATATAAAAGTTAATCACAATATAGGGAGCGAAATGATGCGCGCCATTTCTGTTACTCGTGTGCTGATGCGCTTTACTCAGAAACAAATAAAGTTCATTAGCGTTACATAAAGCATGTTGCACGCAATAGTAATCATAGAGTCTTTGTACATCGCTTGTAAAAAAAAAAATAGCTCATACGGGTTGCTTTGATTTAAACACTTTAAATGCTTAAAAACAAACCTTTCAGCCGACTCACAACAGCTGCAGGAGCGCGGCGCGGCCTTATGACGTCACACAATCACACCAAAATAAAAGTCTTGTTCACAAGCTAAATTGATGATTCATGTGTTTCAGTAGTAACATATGTATTAACTCTGATTTATGAATTCACACACTTTAACGAATACAGCACATTTGTCGTGTGAGAGTGAGAGATTAAGTAAAAGATAAAAAAATAAAAAATATGTGGGTTCAGTAGGAATTTGGAGGAATTGGATTCCCATTGAGAGACATTTAAATGTTGTCAAGTGATGTGCTGAAAATATTGAGAACTACTGAAGAAAAAGTATAAGATTTTGTCTAAAAGGCAAAAAGAAGAGCATATGAGAACTGCATGTTTACCATCTATGTGTGCCTGGGCCTGTTTTACTGAATTGCCTAAAGGCCGATTTTTTTTTTTTTTATTAAATGCTTGAAAAATCAATAACAACTGTCATCATTGTCAAATCATAACAATACATCAAGAGTCCAGGGTCATTCTGTCTAGAGGAAGAGCCAAGTCCTTCAGTAAAGCCATTGTTCTTATTGCGTTCAAGTTCATAGAGAACTCAATAGATTTAAAATACAATTTCATTCCAAGTTTGAACCTTAAAAAAAAGAAAATTGACATTTATGAATATGACATTTAGCTAACAGGAAAATAAATATCACCTTTTCTTTCACATTCACGAAAGCCAAAAATTACATTTCTATATTTAAACTTAAAATTAGGATTCACATAACATTTGATCAAATCAACAGAAAAAAGAAGATGAAGTTGATACAAAACGGTCTTTAATAAATCCAAGTCAATACAAACAGAGCGATAAAGAAAGACAACCAACACATAGACATGGACAAACTGAAATCACAAACACATGAACTTAAATACTAATGATAATGATTGCACACACCTGAACAGAATGACAAATCAATCAATAACCATGACAACTAACTCAACTAAGGGAAATGGTGCAAACTGAAAACAAAGTCCAAACAGTAGGCGCGCGTTTCCATTACCCTTCAAATTGCGCAAATTGAAATTGCGAATTGAAAATACGCCTAATGGAACATCATTTCGCAATACTTTTTTATCAACATTTATAAAATATCGCCAAAGTTTTGCGCAAATCTGTAATGGAAACGTGCCTAATGTGCCATTGTACCACCACAGTACTATTATATCTAACAGTGTCTACAATCAACAACATGGAAAAAAGATACGGACAGTCAAGAAAGAAAGACTCATACCCCCCCCCTCCCCAATTCTACGCCCCTGCTGTAGTAGTTACAGACCTAGCCTATATCGGTAAAATTACTGGTAGAGGCTAGGTCTTTAACTACTAAAGCAATTTATCTGTAAAAAAAAAACAATCTGTAATTTTACAAGTTAAAGCTTTTTAACATATGTAAACCGAGTTCAGCTTTGAGAATGAAAACCAACCTGTTTGGTATCTTCTTGTAACTACTAAAGCAATTTATCTGTAAAAAAAAAACAATCTGTAATTTTACAAGTTAAAGCTTTTTAACATATGTAAACCGAGTTCAGCTTTGAGAATGAAAACCAACCTGTTTGTTCCTCGGTATCTTCTTGTTTCAGACTGAATACTTCTTCAATCCTCAAGTCTTCACTCTCCTCTTTAATAAACGCCATCTTTATAATAGTGCGTCACGTGGATCTCAGGAGTTTTTCTTGGTGTTCGGACACTCTGTCCTGTTTAAGATGAGAATAATTAACAGAAAGAAAAATAAATCCAAACTAAATCTCTAGGCGAGTCTCTGACAGCACCCTATAGTTCAGTAGTAAGTGCACTGGTGAAGGAGGATGATGATTAAGAAGAAAAATAATTAAAGATGACATATTATTCATAAAGTTAATACTGAGGTATTTTGGGTTTATATTTGATTTGTAATCATTTGTAGACTATCATCTGCAGTTGGTCTGTCGCACGTTTGTGTTGTTCTCGTCGCATTTACACTGTTTTGAGCAGATGTCGCTGATTTTGGCGCTTCAATTCAGTGAATCATTTTGCGAAGCAACCGACTCAAATAAGTGAATCGACTCAATTGACTCGTTTAAAAAAAGCTCCGTTTCTCACATCACTACTTACCAGTGACCAAATATGTGATACAGACAAGAACATATAAAAGTTAATCACAATATAGGGAGCGAAATGATGCGCGCCATTTCTGTTACTCGTGTGCTGATGCGCTTTACTCAGAAACAAATAAAGTTCATTAGCGTTACATAAAGCATGTTGCACGCAATAGTAATCATAGAGTCTTTGTACATCGCTTGTAAAAAAAAAAATAGCTCATACGGGTTGCTTTGATTTAAACACTTTAAATGCTTAAAAACAAACCTTTCAGCCGACTCACAACAGCTGCAGGAGCGCGGCGCGGCCTTATGACGTCACACAATCACACCAAAATAAAAGTCTTGTTCACAAGCTAAATTGATGATTCATGTGTTTCAGTAGTAACATATGTATTAACTCTGATTTATGAATTCACACACTTTAACGAATACAGCACATTTGTCGTGTGAGAGTGAGAGATTAAGTAAAAGATAAAAAAATAAAAAATATGTGGGTTCAGTAGGAATTTGGAGGAATTGGATTCCCATTGAGAGACATTTAAATGTTGTCAAGTGATGTGCTGAAAATATTGAGAACTACTGAAGAAAAAGTATAAGATTTTGTCTAAAAGGCAAAAAGAAGAGCATATGAGAACTGCATGTTTACCATCTATGTGTGCCTGGGCCTGTTTTACTGAATTGCCTAAAGGCCGATTTTTTTTTTTTTTATTAAATGCTTGAAAAATCAATAACAACTGTCATCATTGTCAAATCATAACAATACATCAAGAGTCCAGGGTCATTCTGTCTAGAGGAAGAGCCAAGTCCTTCAGTAAAGCCATTGTTCTTATTGCGTTCAAGTTCATAGAGAACTCAATAGATTTAAAATACAATTTCATTCCAAGTTTGAACCTTAAAAAAAAGAAAATTGACATTTATGAATATGACATTTAGCTAACAGGAAAATAAATATCACCTTTTCTTTCACATTCACGAAAGCCAAAAATTACATTTCTATAATTAAACTTAGGATTCACATAACATTTGATCAAATCAACAGAAAAACGATGAAGTTGATACAAAACGGTCTTTAATAAATCCAAGTCAATACAAACAGAGCGATAAAGAAAGACAACCAACACATAGACATGGACAAACTGAAATCACAAACACATGAACTTAAATACTAATGATAATGATTGCACACACCTGAACAGAATGACAAATCAATCAATAACCATGACAACTAACTCAACTAAGGGAAATGGTGCAAACTGAAAACAAAGTCCAAACAGTAGGCGCGCGTTTCCATTACCCTTCAAAAAAATTTGCTGTTAATGTATTTACCCTCAGGCCATCCAAGATGTAGGTGACATTTTTCTTGAGTAGAACAGAAGATTTTAGCTGAAACTGTGGTCCATGGTGATTCTTAAAATTCAAGTCAGCGGTTGCCCATTTTTGAGAATAAAAAATTACGAGACATACAGCGCTTGACTGTGTAATTTGGTATGTTAGCTACTTGTTTGGACTTCTGCTCTCCAAATAATTCTCCCACAATTTCAGTAACATGTTGTAAAATTAAAGTTTCCCATCCAGGTTTGATTCATCCAGAAATCTGCCATTTTCACCACGTTTAAATTAGCATGCTTAGCACAGCACACAAACCAGATCAGATGGTCACTGCAGTCACTCGGATCCAGTCCGTATCCAGCCCAGATGATGGATCAGCACCTAGAAAGGACCTCTACAGCCCTAAATGTCAGCGGAGACCAGGACAACCAGATGAGCCCCAGAGACAGATCCCCAGTGAAGACCTTGTCTCCTAGACGGCCATCGGGACAAGACCACAGGAACCAGATGAGTCCTCTGCACAATCTGACTTTGCTGCAGCCTGGAATTGAACTGCTGGTTTTGTCTGGCCAGAGGAGAACTGGCCCCCCGACTGAGCCTGGTTTCTCCCAAGGTTTTTTCTCCATTCTGTCACCGATGGTGCTGTTTATTTACAGCACTGCAGATGCATACAAAAGTCCACGAGTGATGGCGTGAAGAAATATATACAGTGTAATCACCAAAGACCCAAAAAAATACAAAGGAACAAAGAAACAACAAACTGGAAAATAAAGATGAAAAAAATATATAAATAAATAAATATATATACACAAAGGGTATCTTCAGTATACTCGCTTTGATGGTGGTTGCTCACAGCACTACTGTTGCACGCTCAAGTTCGACTTGGTTATCAAGTGACAACTGTGAGTCTAACCTCCCTTTTATAGGCCAGACTCCAGCCCTCCTTTGGACATACCATTTTTAACACAACACATTTTTCGCTATACTCTTTACATATATACAATAGCCATATTTTATAAACACAAAATCTCATTTAAACAGAATACCCAACCCATACCCGATCCATCACAATGATTCTAATTCTGTTTTGCATGATGATATGATGAATGCATGGTTAATTTTTAACAGCAGATTCAGTGATGTGAGAGCTAATCTGTGCATCACTGCACACGTCTGTGGTGCATTACGGCTCCGACACGGCCACCGAAGCTGATCGCGGCCACCCAGTCAATCTTGTGAATCTTGTGGTCTTGCGAATCCAGTTGCTTCGCTCCTGGTGTGATTTGGCGCCGCGTGGAGGATGGATCAAAACCTCGTTTGAGCCATAAGGGGTAACAGTTGCATAATACACTGATAATAAGCTGCTTTTAAATTAACTTTAAATATAAAACAAAAGTTCTCCTTTGGTCAGATTACACTTGCAATGTCACTGTTTCTGTCACTGCAACTTCCCAAACAGGCGAACACACATTCAAAAAATGAAATGATCTAATCTGTGTTCCAAATTAACTAGATTATGTCTAGAGGAGCAAATAAAAAACATACTGTATATCTACTTATTTATTTTTAAGGGGGAGAAAAGGATTAATGTAAAAAATACTCTTTCCACTTCTATCATGGTGCCATTGTCTTAGCAGTAGATATCGTTTATGGCAAGAGAAATGTAAGAGAAAATTGGTTTTCCCTGCTTGTTGTTTTAGAAATGGATTGAGTTTACCGGAAGCCTTGCTGTCTTTTTGGAGAGAGGGTCTGTGTGCAGTGGCGTAGCAAGTCAGCCCCGGGCCCCCACCCGTGTATTCACAAGCCGTTTTATTTACGGTATAAATGCTTGGAAATAATATTTAACGTTTTCAAGTCCATTCATCATTTGTAGCACGCAAGCCACCCAATAATCGCAATAAGCTTTGTGCTTTGTTACTTCTATTAAAACACAAAGTGTCAGCCTTCTGTCAACTTTATAATAAAATACTACAAACAATAAATGTGTTTTTACGCTTCTAAATTTGTAGTAAGATATCTATGTTCGTCTCAGTTCAAACAGCATGTGAATCAATGATATTTTCCTCTTTAATATTTGCAGCACGAAATAAACATGAGTAAATATTTGAATGCATGTTGAAAAAATCGGAACAATTTTAATACAAACGAATGTTTCATGAAATCGGTCAATTAGAGTTACAAAAAACATCAATAAGCCTACCTTTTATTGCAGTTTTTCATGTTAAATGTGAAGAATGACAGGTTGGATGCCACAGACTTTTTATTTTATTTTTTTTTTTTTTGGCGGGAGTATAGGTGGAATTCTCACATTAACTTCACACAATAGGCCTATAACCTGATTTTATTATCATAATTTTTGACTATTCTTAAAATTTTATGACGTTAATCTTATTTTTCAACATGGTACTAAAATGCCGCCGTAGGCTATTTGTACTGCATGCAAACACAATCTTGGCACAGAAGCCCAAAATACAAAAACAAACAATAAATAAATAAAATACTAAGGAGATATTTGAATTATTTATTAATGAACTAGTATTTTCTGAGTCAGTGTCACAAGATGAAGTTGACGATCCTGACTCGCCATCTCCTCGGGATACGCGCCTTTAGAGAGAAATACATCTTTACGGATTAACCTACATAATGAAAGAGTTTTTGTTTTCTATTTGAATTATTTCATTTCAAAGTATTTAAAGCATTCTATTAGATATATTTATCATGTCTGTGAGGAGGCAAGTATTCGCTGAGTTTAGGTTCATCATTATGAAGCGCTCCTGCTCAAGACCAAGACGACAGAAAGCGCATCATGTTTGTTTTCCTTAAAGGGGTCATATGATGCTGCTAAAAATAACATTATTTTGTGTATTTGGTGTAAT